CTGCAGTGGGCACAGGGGCAGGACTTTGACCTTCCTCCCTGCCTCCACCCCGCCCCTCCTGCCTCGGCCCGTGGTCCCCTGTCTGCTGGCAGCCCCACTCCTGCTGCTGCTGCTCCCACATGCTGACGGCGCCAGCCCCGCTCCCACCTGCTGATGGCACAGAGCAATTGGCGCAGCAGCCACGCAGCCTGGCATGGGCCGCCAGTGGCCCAGCAGGGTCCGAAATCAGACTTCTGTGTCTTCCTGAAATGGATGCCCTTTCCTTAAACTTTGGAGCCCCCGTCTTCTCGCCTGTAAAATGGAAATGTTCCTGCCCACTCCGGTGCCCACAGTCGAGGCTGGAGATTTCCTATGGAGAGAAAGGCGGAGGGCCCTGTGTGGGGGTGGGAGGGCAGGGGAACACACACCTCAGTCTCAAAATAAAGAAGAGAAAGCTGTGTTCAATCTTTAAAAAACAAAAAGGAAAAAGGAAATACAATATACAGTTCAATAAATAGAAAAAAACAGTTATAAAATCATGTGGTCTTTTGTCCTTAATTACAAGAGGGACGGTGGGGAGGCCAAAAGGACAGCAGCTGGGGCTTAGAGACACACAGAGGGCAGGCTAGACGGAGAGGAAGCGGAAAGGGAGGGCAAGGTGAAGGGGCGGAGAGGGAGACAGGAGAGGGAGAGGCAGAGCCAGAAGATGCTCAGAGGCCAGCCGCGCTTTCCTTTCCGAATTTGGGGTGGGGAGTCCCTGGCCCCCTGTGCCGTCTCCAGGTCTGGAGGACAGTGTGAGCGTGGCTCAGTTCCTGAGATGTATGTCCAGTGACTAGCAGGTAAGGGGAGAAGAGGCAACGACCCCTCCTCCCCCTGGTCCATCCTGGGACCCCAGTACCCACAGGAATGGGAGTCCTGGCCGGATGGGGGTTGAGGTATGTGGCCGAGGCCTGAGGCCTCTTTAAATCCTTCAGTGGGGGTGAGCCATTGGCCCTGGCTGGATACCCTGGAGGGGGCTCCTGAGGCAGTGAGAGGAGGGTACAGAGGAGATTTAGATGCTTTAACACAAGTCCCCTGGCCACCCAGCGTAGGGTGTGTGTGTGTGTGGGGGGGGTTGCTACATTGACTGAGAGCCAGTTTCTGGAAAGTCCTGCCTCCCAGTTTCCTGGAGCCCAAGCCAGGCCTGTGAGTTTGGGGAGGGGAAGCTTGCTATTGCTTTTGGGGTACCCAAGTGGGGCCATACCAGCTACCCCCCTTCTAGGCCCCTGGTTGGTGGTATGGCTTCTGATCCTTGCGTCTCGCACACTCGCTCGCATAATCCTAGGCACGCACGTGGCAGGACGCCACCCCCCATTCCCACGTCCAGCCAGGCTGGGGGGAAGGCAGGCAAGACCACCTAGCTCCAGCTGGGCTCCTTCCCTGACTCAATACTGAGATGCCACTAGCCCTCCTGTCCAGGTGCCCGGTGCAGAGTGGGTGGCACAGAAGCAGGAGCCAAGGGAGACCCTGCCCGCCACCCGCCGGACGCCCTCAGCCGAAACGCTCCCGCACCAGCAGCATGAGCTTCTTCTTGCCCTTGTACGTCTGTTTGAGGGTCTCCAGGAACTGGGTGAACTGAAGGTGCCCGTCAGTTAGCAGGCAGGAGGGTAGCCCCCACCCCACAGATACAGATTTCCGCTGGACCCACAGGGACCTTGGGGCTCAAATACAGTCACAGGAAGCAACTCAGCTTTCCCCCTGCCTGCGTGACACCCCTCTCCCCCGCCCCTCCCGCCCCAGGCCCAGAGGCTCAGTTCAGCACTAAGAGGAAAGCCCCTGACCTGAGGGCTGAGAGGAAGGGAGCTGTGGTGGGGGATGGGGAGTAGGGGGTGGGGTAGGGAGCAAGCGGGAGGGGAGGAGGTCAGGGCGATTCATTGCAATGGATCTCACTGCAAGGCTTCATTCAAATGCACTGCGTGGTTCTTCTCGCACAGGGTGAGAGCGGGCAGGGCGCAGTTCTGCGGGTCTTTCATGGCGCACTGCAAGGCCAGGGCGCGGGCGCAGGCCCAGAGCTCCTCCCGCCGGGGCGCGTCCAGCTGCAGCCGCAGTAGCGTGGCATGGGTGGTGCCCGTCACGGCCACGATGGTGGCCGCCTCCACCGGCGTGAATAAGGAGAACCAGTTCTGCATGATGTTCATCAGAGCCTGTGGACCTGGGGAAGGCAAGATGGTGAAACGGGTCAGGGAGAGGGGCCGGAATGCGGACGTGTGTCCACAGGGTCACCCCAGTATCTCCATCTCCAGCAGCAGGGCTGGAGACACACTCCCTTCATTCACCCCTTGGGTAGCCTCCCCCTCCCAAAAGAACAGGGCACAGCAGGCCTGGCTGGGACTGTGTACGAGGGGGGTTAGCTTTGGTGCCAATGGCCCTCTCCAAGCCATTTAGCCGGGCCAGCCTCCGGGCTTCTGTCCAGCACAGTCCCTCCGCCCAACATTCCCTCCGGGCTTAGCTCTGAGCGCAGGCTCGATCCAAAGGAAAGTCTACTTCTCTCTTGTGCCCATCTGGTTCCATAAAGAGATGGGTGGCAGATTCCCTTGGGGCCTCTCACCAATCTCCGTGGCACAGCTGACCAGCCAGCGCACCATCTCCCTTCGCCGCCAGGTCATGGTGCTCAGGGTCATCCGCATCACCTGCAGGGGTGAAACGGGACAGAAAGAGGTCACCCAAAACTTCAGGCTGGCTGAGGGAGAGAGGTTGGGATCCTTAGGGGCCCAGGAAGACAGAAGTTAGGGGCTGACTCAGTGAGCCACACAGTCTGGGCAAATGGCTTCACCTCTTGGGGTCTCAGTTTACTCATCTGTAAAGCGGGGATAAAAATCTTATCTACTGCATAGGGTTGTGAGAAGCGAGATTACATAGTAATGCTCTTTGCACAGTGCCTGTTGCCTCAAAGTGCTCGGCTAACGTCAGCCAGTACTATTACTGCTATTGTTGTTCTGTGGAGGGCCCCATGCATCCTACTCTGGACAACAAGCCGACCCATTCCTTCTCTCCAGAAAGTTCCATGCTTCATGTCTACTGACTCCCCCCCGTAACCCCCAACAGAGCACTTGCTGCACAGGTCCCACCGTCTTTAGCTCTCACCCCCAATAAGCACCTTCCCTGCTGGCCTCTCTCCTCAGGTCCCATCCCCAGTCCTACCTGGTGGGCTCTGCCTTCTGGAAGCTCCTAAGTAGAGGGTCTCCTGTCTAGAGCCCCACCCTTGTCCTGCCCCCTCCACATCCCCCCATGACTCCAGTCCCCTCAGGAAATTCTGCCCCTGAGGGCCCCTTGCTTTCTAGTTCTACCTGGGAAGATCCCACCCCACCCTGCAAGCCTGCCCCAGGCTGTGCCTTATTCCCTTATTTACTAGGTCACCTTCTGAGGCCCTGCCTACCTCCACATCACGCAGCCTGCAGCTGGCTCCTCACCTACAGGCTACACCGAGCATGCGGCCTCTGCCTCACCAGAGCCAGATGGCCTGGCCCTGGGGGTGGCCGGACACTCAGCCCCATGACTGTCACCACAGACCTCACTCCAGAGGCAGCTCCTCAGCTTCAAGGCCTCCCTCCAAACCCAGACCCTCAATGGTGACTTCTAGGCTGGGTTCCCCTGAAGCCCCACCTCTTATTGGCAGGCTTTGCTGCTCCCCCCAGGTCCCCCTCTCAGCCCCACCCGCCCATGGTCCTTAACCTGAAGCACACCAGCCCCAGGCCTCATTTCCAAGGCTCTGCTCCCTCTGTGGCCCACCCTCTCACCAGCAGGTTCCAGGACCCTCCTCCTCCTCCTCAGCCACACCCTCAGAGGTAGATTCTCACCTTCAGACTCAGCCAATGAGTCTAATTCATAGGCCCACTCCACTGATAACCTCATTCTCCCCCTCCCAGAACTTACAGACTCTGCCTTCCTGTGGCTGCTCACATCCTGGCCCCTCCCACAGGCCGCACCCCCCTCCCCATCTTCCCAGGGGCCCTCACCTGCAGGCCCAGCTCCAGTGCAATGCCCAGCAGGGTGGTGTCTGGGGGTGTGCTGGCCGGGGTGGCGGTCTTGCAGGCATCCTGTGCCAGCTTGAAGAGCAAGGCTGGAGAGTGGATATTCTGCTGGATGGAGCCCAATACTGTGTGCAGCCATTTGGGGTCTCCTGGAGGAAGGGGAGGGACATTGGCACCATGGTTACACCAGGCAGTTCATGCAGGTTCCCTCCACACAGGTGCACAGGTGTGAGCATGGA